AAATATATTATCACAGATTGCTATGCCGAAATGTGAATTGGTATTTCTTTTTTTCCACCTTATTTAACTGAAGGAACTTAAAACAATGATATAGACTAGGACTAAACAGAATGAGGTACTAGTCCATCTTCAGCCAAAGAAACTCTGGAGGGTCTCACTCCTTCGCAGCTTAATCTCACAGTATTGTTATTATGGGGGAGAATTGGGCAGAGGTGCTACTTATTCAATCTTGAGCTCCTGGAGTAAAAAATAGAAGTTGGATAAATCAGTGGTGCAAATGGAGTAAAATACAGAATAATGTATAATGGAAATAATATAAAACCAAATAAAACGTGGTGAGAAAGCAACTGCTTAAGTCAATATGAATACAATTACAACTCAGTTTATTAATTAAGCACTTGTAAAGGAATTATAAAATATGGGGAGAATATCAAGAAAGTCCTGTCTTTGAGTTTGCACCAGATTGATTCAGCTTGCCCAAAATTTTAAAACCCAAATGAAAATTATACAGGATAATAGAATCTTTCAGATAACTGAAGTCCTAAAACCTACTGAGCATTGCAGATTATAGAGAGACCTCCAAATTCAGTCTAGAAACAATAGATTTCCTGTATAATAATAAAATCCACCCATTCTTTTATAGCAAGATTCATCTATTTCTTTTAATTGATAGAATCATACAGAATTTTGGGACCATGCCATATATTACTGACACAAAATAGTTGCCATGGGACAGGCACCAAATGGCTATTTTAAATTTATTGTGTTTATTGTATAACATAGTATATTATGATGGGATCTAAATCTCATCTTATCTAACTACTGCTTCTGGGCCCATAGATTTATACTCTGATAGCACAACCATTTCATAGGAGAACTCTCCCTCTCTTTCTGTTAACCAGTGTGCCTTTCCTTCTCTTCTCCATTTCTTCAGCTCAGTAAAAAATCTGGATAACTATTCCATCCACAGCTATCTTTCCAATTGGCCTATACCTCGTATTTATCATGTAATCTTCCTGGTCAATTTTCCAACTCGTACTCCTTGTTTTCCAGAAAGCAGTAGTCACAAGGATTGTCACGTCATACTGGAGATACAGTATGATACAGGTAGTCCTCAACTTACAGCCATTTGTTTAGTGACCATTTGAAGTTATAACAAAACTGAAAATAGTGACTTATGACCAGTTTTCACACTTACAACCATTGCAGCATCCCTGTGATCATGTGATCAAAATTCAAATGCTTGGCAACTGGCATGTATGGTTGCAGTGCCCTGGAGTCATGTGATCATCTTTTGTGACCTTCTGACAAGCAAAGTCAATGGGGAAGCCAGATTCATTTAACAACCATGTTATTAACAACTGTCATGATTCACTTAACAGTGGTAAGAAAGGTTGTAAAATGGAGCAAAATTCAATTAACAACAATCTTGCTTAGCAATTGAAATTTTGGGTTCAATTGTGGTCATACGTTGAGGACTACCTATGCTTTTATTTTCTAAAGATGATTATGGTAAATGCAACACCCAGCATTTTGAAGAAGTAAAGGTGATACCTACATTTCATTTTGCAGAATGCATGGCATTGGGATAAAATTCATTTCAAAGAATTCAAAATTGGTTGAAGAAGGGAGTTTTGGTACATTTCAGGAAGAGGATTTACAGGTAGCATGGTGGAAATCTCCCATTTTTATACAATAGATATGTGAAGTAGAAGTTTCAATAACCTCATAAACCTTTTTTCGTGAATACTTATGTTGGAGGATCTGATTGGGCAGGCAGTCCAAAGATTTTAAAACAGACATACATGATAATAACTAGGGTTTTAGAAAAAATCATAAGGCAAAGGGAAGGAGAATAAATTATTTACTCGGTTGTCTGATTTATCATGCTTTTTATTTCAATTTTTATTGGTGTAGTTCAGCCAAGTAAAAAACTTTAAGGGTAATCAGTATGTGATGACTATATATTGGCAGCCTGCAAAATTTAAGGTTTATGTTCTTGTAACATTACTTAGATTTACAGCCATGTCAATCATGGTAAGTACAAAACTCTGCTCCCTTAATGTACTGAGAGGATGCAAACACTGAAATCTGGAGAAGCACAACATACATCATTTCACTTATAAATTACAGGTAGTAGCTTACACTGACCCTTGACATGTTCATCTTCTTATTACTTTGGTTATTAAACATTTTAGTGATTTTTTTAATATCCATATTTGGCTGATAAAGGCTTTGTAATACTATACATATTAGGGGAACTAAATCTAAAAGATGAAATAAATTTAAGAAGTCAACATGGATTGAACATCCTTCTACTATTGATACCACTATTTATTGAAATTAAAAATTACAGATAATACCATCCAGTAATTTCTATTATATTAAATTACTGATCTTTTAGAAAATACATAATATGTCGTTGAGTTGTCTGCTGTATCAGAAAATTTGGAAATGTATCAGAAGATTTGGAAATGGAATTCTTTTTTTCTATTCAGAGGAACTCCATTAAGGAGCAAAAGATAGAATTGCTGTTAACTGCCTTTTGATTACCAGCCTTAGAAATCCTCAGGAAATATCCTCAATGATAGTTGAATGTTGTCTATTGACTGTGTTTTCTCTTCTAGTATCAATCATACACAGCTCAGGGCATTGGTTAAGATAGTCATCAATCGCTTAGAATAAATCAAAGGCAGCCAAATAGAATTTGTTTAAGTCAAGTAACAAAATGAGCCAAAAGATTTATATAAAAAAGATGGTCTCCAAAAGCCTTGGATGTCATTCCCAAACAATTCAAAAGGTTACCCCTGAATTATTTTTAATACCAGATTTTTGTCCTGGTGCTATCTTTCATTTGGATTGCAATTCCCTGCATGCACTCCTATGATAATCCTTGGTTTAAAATGTTGTATTTTGAAATGTGTTAGAACCAATTTAAAAGCCTACAGAATTCATATTGAATGGCTGAAAGAGGCTTTCAGTGAAGGCATCAACCACAATTGCCAGATAGTTTTAAAGACAGTCCCAGTTTCAAGGCAATGAGGGTAAGACTTTGGTTGCCAGGGTATCTTGCTCCAGAGAGGGCCCCAACAGCCATATTTGCTGCGGCTGGGCAAAGGCCCCATGAACATGGCCTCTACCTGCTGATCAAGCATTAGCTGTGATTCCAGCAACATTTACAAGTTCATTAAGAAGGAGAACCCGGAACTAACAAAGAAGGAAACATTATCTTCACTGAGATATACCAAACTTACCGGTAACTAGGCATGATTGCAGTTGAGTTCACTATCCAAAGTGATTCTGGGCAGCTACAGATTAAACCAACAGATTAAACACTTTGCTTTTAATGAATTAAAGAAAATAACCTTAGTGCATTATCTGACAAAGTGTTGCCATAGCTATTCTATTACCCTGTGTTCCACTGCTTCTAGTTTCTACAAGTAAAAAAAAAAAATTAGGAATGAAGGCAAATATACGTGTCCCAGGGTAATGTTGCAGGATCCAATCTGGGTCTGTCACCGGGACCAGATGACCAACCCAGATTGTATATTGCAAAAAAATAATAATAATAAATCACGGGTTAAACTGTGGTTCATGTAAACATAGTTTGTATTTTTACCTTTAAACTGTTGTCTAAGAATGAAAAGAGTGTTCAGTTACTGAAATGCAGATGTTTTTATTGATTTGGAGATGCTTGAACCTAGCAATATGAGTTGGAACTGATAACTCTATTTAAAAACACAATTAACTTAATTTACCCAGACCGTAAAAATTTGCTTATTAAAAGGCATGTTCCTTCCTGATTGGAAAAATGTAACTTCCCTCATCTTATGCTTCAGTAAATTTTGTCAGGATGCCTAGAGTTAGCTGTATAAGCAACATACACATCATAGCATACATATACAATCTTATTTACAGTCACAGATAAAATTAATTGCTAATCATTGCTGTGAGATACTGTATACTTGGGCAGAATTTCTGCTTACTTTCTTAAATAAGGAAACAATGATGCTTGTTTAAAGGAAGTTAATTAACTGTGCCCTCCAGTGAACATTCAAGAACCAGGCAGTTTTTTCTTAACATACATTTCTTTGATTATAGTATCTGTTTGAATGCTCAGACTAGTCATTCTGCAGTGTTACACTTCTTAACTCGCAAATATAAATTATTGTGAATACTTAATTTGATATACCGTAGCTGACATATTGGAACATGTTCTGTAGTGATTGTGCAGTCTCAAGACGATAAACAAGTGTATTACAAAATTGCAGCTGTTTTACAGTGGCCCTGCCTCTTTGTGTCCTATATTGTAACTCTGAGAGATTAGAAGGAAGTTCTGTGCAACTCTCTCTGATGCAATAAAGCAGTACAGAATTGACTAATAAAGGTCGCTTTTATGGGAATATCTGCACTCCCCATAAAATATGGGATTTAACATATTCCCATTTCAGAAGCTTCATAAATGAACATTAATCAATACCATCTATGTATTTTCATATTTCTGTGACAGGTATAAATATATTCCATTTTATTTACAGTTTAACTGCTCCACCCTTACTCCGACACAGTTGTGTGTGTATGTGGGTGTATGAGAAGAGGTGAATCCAGCTAAACGTCTCTTTCTTTAGTATTCCCAAAAGCAGCTTCATCTTGGAATTAATCTCAGTTCATTCCAACCAGCTAATTTCTGATGAAGATGAAGAGAAAGGCAAATTACGTATATATAATTACTTCTGAATAACATCATTATTCCAAATTATCAATTACAGTTTTAAAAAAGAAACAAAATGCCCCTAAATTACTTAGAATTCCATCTCAGACTCTTTTGCTTTGTATTGGTAGTCTTTTGTGAAGGTACAAACCAGTTAGGTTTTAACAATACTGAAGACACGAAACTAATTTCCTGCTCAGAAATGTTAGGAGTTTGAGTATGGTATATTTCTACAACTTTAATTTTGTTTGAATGGCTTTTCCATTCATTGGTTGATAGAAGCTTGAAAACCTGTTTGGTGAGAAAAAATGCATTAGCACATCTGCGTTTCTACCCAGTCATCCCTGAGCTGTTCTAACTGGGTGGAGTACAGCCTTGCTCAAGGTTAGGAGCCAGAGGGTTGGCTGTTCAGACAGTCTCTGAGGCAGAATTACTATCTTCGGAACTCTGATATTCTTTTCAGGTTAGTGTGAATATTCATAAATATAAATGTTTTAGGAAGAGAATGGAGTTTTTAATGTTTAGTGAACAGAATGGAAAATCTCTGAAAAGGATCCATTAATTTCATTACAAATGCAGGGGTACATTTTCCAGAAATTTACAGGTCTCCTTTGTTTTACTAACTTATTTTTTTTTTAAAGGCTATTATACATGGGTTTTGTCCTAGAGCAAGTTTGTTCTGGTCTCAAAAATTATTTAAGAGTTGTTTTCACTGAAAGCATAAGAGCTATATAAGATTTATGACTGTATGTAGGATTTATAAATACTGATCTGATCCTTAGATCTCTTTTTTAATACTGGGTGTTATAAAGGGTATATACTGTGTATTTCTTCCTAAGATTTTCTATTAATAGGTCTTTGTTAACTGGTTTCATAAAAAGTTTAGTTTCTCAGTAAAGTTTACCACATATGTCTGCAATAAGATTGATGACAGTGAAGCAAATTATAATGTGTCTATCAACAAATTTACAGTTGCAAATGAGGATTATAACAGGTTGCCACAATATTGGTAATACTGGTATGTGTGCACAAAATTTAATTTGAATTTTGCCATTTTCTAGTTCTTGGCATGTTTTTTATTTAACAAAAAAAACCTGTAGGTCTCCTGAATGCTATTTAATCTATTTAATGAAAGAAGGAAAAAATAAGAGCCCAAATCCTCATATTTATACACCCATATACTGTATATAGTTATGTGAAAAAGAAAGTACAATTCTATGGTTTTACATATCAGGACATAGTAAAAAAAAATCATCTGGTCCTTGGCAGTTCTTAAAAGTAAGTACCGGTAAATACAGCCTCAGATGAATAACAATATATTACATCATGTCATTTATTTTACAAAAAAAAAAGACAAAGTGGAGAAAAACTGAAAAATTTGAAAAACTAAGTACACTTTATGATTCTATAGCTTTAGCTGCAATAACTTGAAATAATCATTGTCTGTATGACATTATCAGTCTCTCACATGGTTGTGGAGGAATTTTGACCCATTCTTTACAACATTACTTCAGTTCATTGACATTTGTGGGCATTTATTTATGCACAGTTCTCTTAACTTCCCACCACAGCATTTCAATCAGGTTGTACTCTGGACTTTGAGTGGACCATTGCAACACCTTGATTCTTTTTTTTTCAGCCATTGTGTTCTAAATTTGCTGGTGAGCTTAGGATCATTGTCCTGTTGCATGACCCAATGTTGGCCAAAGTTTAGCTGTTGGACAGATGGCCTCACATTTGACTCTAAAATACTTTGGTATACAGAAGAGTTCATGATTTTCAAGGTGCTCAAGTCCTGTGGTTGCAAAACAAGCCCAAATCATCAGCCTTAAACCACCACGATTAATGATTTGTATGAGATGTTTGTGCTTATATGCTGTGTTTGGTTTTTGCCAAACATGGCACTGTGCATTATCCACTTTGGACTCATCTGTCCAAAGGACAGTGTTCCAGCAGTCTGCTGGAGAGAGAAGTTCCCTGAAGATGGGCTCCAACACGAGTCCAGAAAGTTTGGAAGACAAAACCTCTGGTCCCAGTGACCAACCCAGATTGGATCCTGAGCTATGGTCAATGTTTGAGGTGCGGAAGGTCACAACTCTTGATGTTCTAAGTTGCCACAAAAAGTCGTCTGAGGATCTGATATCATTCAAAGAGACAAGACCAAAAGAATTTAGATTCTTTTGGCTGTGTTTCTCTCTTCTCTCTTTCTCATATGCTAATGAGAAGAATGGAAAGAGAAACCACTCTTATTACCATCATTAAGTTAAGCCCACTCCAACCCCACATTGTCATCAAATAGCAATTTAGATTAGATTTGAAAGGATTTCAAAGAGATGTGAGATGTTCAGATATAATTTTACTTCTGCATCTACTACAGGCTAGGCATTTTTTTAATTTAGCCATCGCTCTCTTTCCAATTCTGTGGTTTAGAACCTTAAGAAAAATCTCTAGTTTCATCTACAATGAAACTTGCTCCAGGCACCGGTAACTTCTATGGACACAGCATTTCTCCTACTTCCACATTGAACAGGTGCAGGCCTCTTAGCTCTCTGTAGGGCACAACATGCTTTAAAAATAAACAACAACAAAGAAAAGAAGAATTTTTAATCTGAGCTTTGTTTGATTCTCTCAGAGTTTTTCTTTGTATTTGTGATGTTCATGAATTCATGAATCATTCCAATTCAGTATACAAAAAATATTTTGTTGAGAAAAGATTTTTATAGTCTCCATTTGCCTAGTCTTTCTCTGCCAAATGTATTGGACTTCAGTGCCCTTCATCTCAGATGCCATGATGGCTGTCACTGAAGAGAGTTATAGTCAAGACATCTGGAAAACTGCTTATGAGAAGGATTTGTTAAGCATATTATATTTATTTCTTTTTAATTTATGTGTTTATTGCTAAACATTTGAAATACAAAAATAGTAGCAAAAAAGCAAAATAACACAAAAAGGCTGCTAACTTTGAATTTAAAAAATGTAATTGGAAAAGGTGAAAAGTACATTATTTTTAGTGATATATTCTCTGCTTCCTGATCATTTGCATCCCAAACCAAAAGCCACAGTTTATATAGTTAAACTTTGTACCTAGTTTCTAATTTGACTCATAAAAACCATATTCCTGTTATCTAAATGTGTCTTGCTGTGAGATTCAAAAGTTCCTTCTTGAGGATATTAGATCTTCTGTGTGTGATGTTGCTATATATGACTGGGAGAAGAGAGCTGTCTAGGAACCATTAAATTGATTGAATGAAAGATTGCAAAGCCCTATTCAAAAGCTTCTGTCCAGTGAACAAAAAAAGCAATACAAAGTTTTATGTACATTGAAGTTGCAAATTACAGACCTTTTATATTAAAGACTATAGCTATATTAATACATAATTTTTTTTAAAAATTACACTTAATGACATTAGGAAAATAAGGTATTAATCCAGTGGTGACTGCTTCATCTTATTTTACAGATGTTTTAGCTATGACTGTTAAAATGACTTTGCTACAGTTTAAGCAACAAAGTTTTAAAGATGACTAGACAATCCATGATGCATTGGATCATTTTTTTAAAGAATATTTCCTCATCTAAGCAGAATTACAACAGGTGGGCAAAAATCAGTGGGAGTGGGACCACTTCCAACTTCTGATTGGCTTTCCCATTGAGTTTTCTTGTGGGAAGCTGGCAGTAAGTGGTGGAAATTTTCCTTCCTTCCTTCCTTCCTTCCTTCCTTCCTTCCTCCCTCCCTCCCTCCCTCCCTCCTTCCTTTTCCGCACCTCCTTTCCTTCCTTCCTTTCGCAGCTTGGATAAGGTGAGTCAATTTATTGTGGAAAAATGCATCAAAGGACTCTTTCAGTTACTCTACTTTCCCTTTTATTTCTGCTAAATAGTCAAATATTGTTAAGCTGCTCAGGAGAGAAGATTGGTATATCTAAAATGTCTAAGGAATTTGGTTCCTCACTGTTGTAAGTAGAATGCTACTCTGGACTATCATCTTAGGAGTTCCAGTTCAGCAAATCATACCTATTTAAAGTATGTGCAGGGTTTGGTTTAGTAATAATGTTAACATTCATGCAGTCATTACTTAAGTTTTCATTTTCACATGCTTTTTTTAAAAATCATCTATTTTTTGTTTCTTAGATGGTTTGAGGAATATCTGTATGCCAGAATTCATTTTTTGTCATTTCTTCCTCTTTTCCATGTATAATCTCATCCTTATGCACAGGATCCAGTAATTAAAAAAGATTAAAAAGATAGTATAAGATAAAAATAGAAATTTATCAGTGGACCCTGATCGCTAGGTGCTTTCACTTCGCCATTTTGGTTCCCTCCAGTTTCTTCAAGGTGTATATATAAGTCTATCTCTCTGCTGTCAGTTTATTATGTAAAGAATAAATGCTGGAACTAGCATAATCTTCAGTATCTATTTTGTACCAATGCTTGGTACAAAATTATCTTTATTCAATTTCAGGAAAGGGTAAAAAAAATAGATCATTTTTTTCCAGTAAAAAGATAAAAAGGGTTTCTTTTCCTTAAAGCCTTGTGACATTTGCTCTTATGTTAATAAGTTATACTCCAATTCCAGGTAATTAAATTGGGTTTAGTTCTGAGAAGACGTACACTATTAAAGTATTTGTTTTTCTCAGACTCCTTATGAAAACATCACATTTCTAATAATCATATTGAAAATGTGCGTGTGGGGTGGGTGGGAGGATACGTCTTCAGATCAGTTTTTAACTTCTGGAGCTGCCCTGGACAGGTTCCTGCAGTTGTCTGGACAAGATTTTTCTGAAGTAGTTTGCCATTGCCTCTCCTTTCTAGGGTTGAGAGAATGTGACTGGCTCAAGGTCACCCAGATGGTTTTATGGCTAAGGCAAAATTAGAACTCACAGTCTTCCAGTTTCTAGCATGGTGCCTTAACCACTAAGCCAAACTGGCTGTTTTTGAATATGTATGTTCATTAAATTCCTTAGTTAATGCATTGTTGAGAAAGACAGCCATTTTATAATGAAATCGTTGTGTTCATTTTATCCTGAATAATAATAATTAAGCTGAGCTGCTGTGGATACGTTAGGAAATCTGTGTTTCATCAGAATTGTTTCTTAATGGGCAAATCCTCTCCTTGGATGTAACCTGCCCAAAATAATCTGGAAATCAATTAACCCCCAAATCTAATTAAATAAATAAATAATGAAATAACCATTTTTAAAAGAGCATAATGTAGTGTACTTCTAAGAAAATAATAATAAGGATTTGTAAATGCTAGTTCAATGACAGTTCACCTGCCTATGCAGCAGTAACCTAGGCAATAAAAATACAAAACCACAAAAAAAATCATTCTATCTTGCCATTTTAACTAATTCTCAAACTTATAATTTGAGTATTTAAGGAGCTGGTATCAACTGAATTTCATATTCTTTTCCATTTGGATTGTTTTGTTTTCACTTTGAGATTGGGACTGAACTAATATTACCTTGGCAGATGATTTCTGCTAGACACTCTACAATAGGAGCATATTCCTACTGATTTTACTGGATTTTGTTAGGAAGATTGTTGAACTGGTGGTAGTGGATCAATATCACAGTATTTTAGAAAAAGTAGATTTTCTGACTAAGTCCAGGTTTAGAGACTTGTTTGGGTGTGGTGAACCCTTTCTGGACTAAACCTTTCAGTGGCTTTTGATGGCATCAATCATGGTATCCTGTTGGACTGTATGCAAAGGTTGAAAACAGACAAGGGCCTATAATGGTCCTGCTCCTTTCTTCAGTGGTTAGTTCCAATCTGTCACACTGAGGAAGTAATGATTGGCTAAATGGACCCTGACTGGGTGTTAGTGCTTGAGGTCATTCAATGGGGTGCAGTATCATGAGTATGCTGATGATACCCAATTGTACATCACTGTTGTTGATGTTCTTTTCTGGTGCCTGAAAGCCACCTGGATCTGGCTGGAAAAAAACAGCTGAAGGTGAGGCCTAGTAAATCTGAGCTGTTGTGGATATATTGGGGTTCTCTGTTACATTACAGTTATTCCTAGATAGACAAATATTCTCATATTTGTTCCAGTTGATTTCCGAGTACAGTTTAAGGTATTGGTTTTAACCTTTCAACCCCTTTATGATTTGCTGCCTAGGTGCAATACAATCTACTCCAGCCATTACTGGCCCCATCATTAGATTAAGCAGAGAGACGTATTACTGGTCCCGCATTTTTGGGAGGCCGAGAAGGCTAAAGTTAGAAGTGCTATCTTTCTGTAGTGGAGCCAATTCTGTGGATTGGCCTCCTAGTTTTAATTAGGCTACCCTGCTCATTGATGTTATAGAAGCTTTTAAAGATGGAGTTACTCAAGAGGCTTTTCCTAATTTTATTATGCCATAGTTACTTTTTTATTTTTATTGTGTTGTTTTGTGTTTGGGTGGTGTTGCTTTAACATTTTTAACATTGTTATGATGTGAATGTTTTACTTGCTTTTTGTAACCAATGTCAGCTTTAAAAAGTCCCTAAATTGTGGCAGAGTAGAATTTTGGTTAATAAATGAATTCTAAATTTTTAAAAAGAAAAAGTATTAAATATTAGTGTTGGAGGTATACAAAGTAGAACTTTGAATAATGTGAAATTGTTTGTTCTATTTATCCATTTGAAATTCCAAAGTATGAACTTTTATACATGAATTATACCACTTGCATTGTCTCAACTAGGACATGTTTTATTGATTGTATTTAACTTTAGCTCTATTTTGTTCATATGTTACAGTTCCACTTAGCAGCACTGGCATCTTTGAAAGGCGACATCGTTGATCTTAATAAGCGCTTACAGCAAACAGAACGAGAGAGAGATTTGTTGGAAAAGAAATTGGCAAAAGCCCAGGTTAGTCATTATTCAACTTACTAAAATGGCTTTGGCTCAATATCTCAAGCATATAAACCAATCAAAAGAATTGTTGTTACATCAAAGGCATCAAATGTGACTTTTCACAGATTAACATATCAAAGTCTACCAAAGTAGTTTCTTTATATTAAGGGCATTGAACAAAATTGTGTAAAACAAAGTTACTTTAGTAATACATAATCCAGTTATTGCCCTGTTCAAAGAGTTTGTACAGTTTATGAAAAACAAAATTCCTGCAAATATGATCAATATTTTTTATACCGACGAAAGTGGTGCATTTAGTCCAAAATGGCATGCATATTTATTGAGCTTCTCACCAATTGAAGCAAAATTCCTGTTTGTAGAGAAATTAATTGATTTATAAGCACTTGAAAACAGTTATCAGGAGTCAGCATGGATTTCTCAAGAAATCCAAAAGTCTTCTGCAGAGTCTTGCTAGACTACCTATATTTTACTTTCTGGTATTAAGCTTTCTTAATAGACTGTGGCAATATACAAATATACTATACCTTTATTTTAGCAAAACATTTGATAAAAGGACAGATAATATTTGATTAGCAGACTGGATAAGGCTGGACGAGATGATATGACAAGTTGATACCTACAGCAACAGTCTCAAAATTGCACTTGAAGAATATTCACTAATGACATTTCATCATATTGGAGTGATATTGGGTGTGATGCCACAAGACTGGATCCTGAGTCCTAGACTCTTAAAACAGTTTTGTAATGGCTTAGATGAATAGGTAGAAGGAAACAAATTTAAGCTGATACAAAGTAGAGTAGGATAGTTAATAATAGTAAAATTCAAAACAATTGTGAGAGATTAGAGGAATGGGCTGAAAGGTAACATAATGAATTCAGTAAAGATAAATACAAAATTCTTCACTTAGGAAATTAAATGAAGCACACAAGTAAAGGATGGGGATACCTGGCTTGGTAATAACAGTTGTGAAAAAAAAGGTAAGTAGCAATGTGATGCATTGTTTAAAAAAAGGCAAATGCAAAATTAGGCTATGTTGATAA